ACCTCTGAATGCCTTAATGCACAAATATTAGGAAAAGGCTAAAGCCTAGAACAGTGGAGGAAGTTTAGGCAGGTCATGTGTGTACAAAGCCTAAAAGTGCCCATAGATTTGAGATGGCAATCTACTAATTGGGCAATTTTCAAGTGATTTGGTACATAACTGCATATCGATGAGCACCTTCAGACTATCCTAGTTTACTGACTTCAGGGGAAAAGTAATTACATAAGTCAGAAAACTTGGTTGTTTCCACCATGATAGGAGGAGCTCAGAATATCTGCATGATGTGCGCTACAGCTTGCACATGCAAAGCAATGCACAAAAATTATTTTGCGACCTGAGTGTTCCTGTTATGTCTGAAGCAGGGTTTGTCCTGCTAACAAATACTACAGCCAGCTTAGAAGGTAAAATTGGACTTGACAATATCAGAGTAACTTTATGGCAGGGGTAGACAACCCTGGAGAAACCAACCTAAATGAAAATGAAAGATCCAAAAACTCCTTGGTGCTCACTTTTATTTTTTTTTTTTAGGGGATAACCTAGGAAAGCCCATTGAAATGTATGATAAGCTTGAAGTACACAGGGGTCAGTATTAAGTAGTGCAGAGTTCAGAGGTCACTAGTAGCACAGTGTACAGGAGTCAGTAACGTTGTATGCAGAGGTCTGTTGTGTGTAACACACAGTGTAGGGGTAAGGAGTAAGTAATGCAGAGTGCGGGGGGGGGGGGGGGTCTGCAGTTTGTAACACAGAGGTCAGGATTATGCAATGAAGAATGAAGGGGTCAGAAGTAATGCAGAGTGCAGAGGTCTGTAGTATGTAAGGTTTACTACAGGGGTCAGTAGTAAGCAACATAGAGGTCAGTTGTATGTATCACAGAGTGCAAGAGTCAGTAGTAAATAATGCAAAGTTCAGTGGCCAGTAGTAGTTAATGTAGAATGCAGATGTCTGTAGCATGTAACACACAGTGTAGGGGTAAGAAGTAGGTAATGCAGAGTGTGGGGAGTTCACAGTTTTTAAACACAGAATGCAGGGTCAGGATTATGTAATGAAGATTGCTGACCACAGGGGTCAGTAGTAAGCAACTTAAAGTTCAGAGGTCAGTTGTATGTATCACAGAGTGCAGAAGTCAGTAGTAAATAATGCAACGTTCAGTGGTCAGCAGTAGGTAATGCAGAATGCAGATGTCTGTAGCATGTAACACACAGTGCAGGGGTCAGGAGTAAGTAGCATAGTGTGCAGATGTCTGTAGTATGTAACACACAGTGTAGGGGTCAAGAGTAAGTATCTCAGGGTACAGAGGTCTGTCATTCTTAACACAGAATGCAGAGGTCAAAAACATGTAGTGCAAGAATCGGCAGTAATAATGCAGAGTTCAGAGGTCTGTAATATGTAACCCAGAGCATAGGGGTTAGGAGTAACTAACGCAGAATTCAGAGGTCAACAGTATGTAACACAGAGCACAGGGGACAGTGGTAAGTAACTCAGAGTTTTAAGGTTAGTATGTATTGTAAAAAGTGCAAGGGTCAGTAGTAACACGAGAGTTCAAAGGTCAGGTGAAAGTAATGCAGAGTGCAAGGGTCAGGAGTCAATAACACAGAATGCAGGGGTCATTATTAAAAAATGCCGAGTTTAGAGGTCAATAGTAAGTAATGCAGATTGTAAGAGTCAGCAGAAAGTAACAGAGAGTTCAGAGGTCATTAGTAAGTAATGTAGAGTGCATTAGTCAGTGGTATGTAATGGAGAGTTCAGAAGTAAATAGTGCAGAGGTCTGTAGTATGTATCTGAAACTATTGGGGGCAGGAATAAGTTACACACAGTGCAGAGGTCTGTAGAATGTAACACAGTGTAGGGGGTCAGTAGTAGTAAGTAACAGGGAGTTCAGAGGTCATTAGTAAGTAGGTTAGAGTGCATTAGTCAGTGGTATGTAATGCAGAGTTCAGAAGTAAATAGTGCAGAGGTCTGTAGTATGTAACGCAGTGTAAGGGTCAGGAGTAAGTAAAGCATAGTGCAGGGGTCTGTAGTCTGTAAAACAGAATGCAGGGGTGAGGAGTACGTAATGCAGACTTCAGAGGATAGGATGTAATTTAGAGCACAGGAGTCAGCAGTGATAGAGTGCAGAGGCTGGTAGTATGTAAAGCAGAGTACAGGAGTCAATAGTAAGTAAAGCAGAATTCAGATGTCAGTAGTATGTATCACAGAGTGCAGGTGTCAGTAGTAAGTAATGCAAAGTTTCGAGGCCATAAGTAAATTGTGCATACTGCTGTGGTCAATAGTATGTATCTCAGAGTTTAGAGCTCAGTAGTAAGTAATGCAAAGTGAAAGGGTCAGTATAATAAAAGAAACACAGAGCTTACAGGTCAGTAGTAAGTACTCTATGGCACACAGGTCAGTAGGATGTAATGCAGAGCTCAGTAGAAAATAGCACAGCATGCAGGGGTCAGTAGTATGTAACAAGGAGTTCAGAGGTCAGTATTAAGTAATGCAGAGTTCAGGGGTCAGTACTCAGAACAAATCCCTCCTCCCTCTTTAAAAATCATTCACCAGACCTCAGATGCAGTGGTGCCCAGCTGAGTGAGGCAAGTCCTTTCAGGGTTCCCCTCAGCTGTATCATATGAAACATTGGAAATGAGGAGAAGCCTAAGATGCTCTCAGCTCTATACTCACATTGGCGGTTTGATCTGAGGTCTGGAAGGTGGTGAGAGCTGGGTGGCATGGAAGAATCGCAGCCAACCCATCACATAGCCATGATCAGTGGGTAGATTGCGATTGACCAGTTGCCAACCCTAGTTCAATGGAGTAAGAGGTAGACAGGGAGGGGTGGATTAGGTTCTGAGCTCTAAAGCATATGGTTTAAATTCCCTCTTCTGTGGAGGTCTCTGTCTCAATCTCACGCCACATATTTTTTTTCTTCCACATTTTACAATACAAAGCGTTATTCTACACAGGGCTGCCTCCTAGAATGACAAGTATGCTGTCTAAAAGAGGATTGTGTGGGACCCACGCTAGAGGTGAATGACCGGAAAAAAACCCTCTGTTCGAAGGGGAAGTCATAGTGAATACAATCTCTCTAAACCCCCAGCTGAATGCACTTTCAACTGTATAGTGAAATAAAATTTAATTACTAATGACAGGAAATATTGCCTTGATATAATTTTAAAGCGCTGAGCAAACTGTTGGCGCTATATAAATCCTGTATAATAATAATAATAATAATTTGCCAACATTACATACAAGAGATTTTCTATATAAAATAGTTACATGAGCAGAATCTGGTAATCATCTGGGTGCCAAGGTCCTGTTGCTGTTGTACCAGCAGTGCCAGTAAACCTTCAGGCAGTTTTGAACTATGTTGCCTTCTAGTGTTAAAGTACAGTGGTACCTCAGTTTACGAACGCCTCGGTTAACGTAATTGTCGTTTTACAAATGAAAATCCGTTCAAAATAATGCAAATTTTTTTCAAAATACAAAGCACGTTTCCGCAGGACGCATTGCACCTGGGATGTTTATAGCGCTGCCCCCATGCATGCTGGAGTCTGTGGGTAGCACATGGCGTTGAGTGTGGTGGTGTTGGAGCGGTTTTTGCATCAAGTTTTGGAGCCACTCTGGAAATTTTTTAACATGTCAATGTACAGTGTTTATGCCTTTAAAAGTGCACTTTATAAAGAGTTTTGAACAGATAAAAGACTTTTTTTTACTTTTTTCTGACCTCCAGAACAGATTAATTGGTTTTCAATGCATTCCTATGGGAAACCACGTTTCGGTTTACAAATTTTTTGCAACACAAAACATCCCAGAGAAGGCATTAAATTCATAAACTGACGTACCACTGTATTGTGAAAGGTGAAAGGCTTGATCTCACTCTACAAATGTTACAAAGCTCTCCCAAACTATAAACATTCAGACTGTCTTTGGCCAGAAGACTCATTTTAAAAACGACTCATATACATCTCTACAGTTACATGTAATCAACCTCATATTTACAGCTTAGGCTCAGTTCACACTCCTGTGTCTTAGAATCCGACTTGTGAGACCCAAAGTCGCAGGACATTTGAAATGCCATGTACAGTATCTCTATGAGAGCAGCTCCCATGGACACTACTGAAGTCGCTGCGACTTCAGAAAAGGTTCCTGCACTACTTTGACATGACTTTGATACAACTTCAGTGCCACGCAGTGTAAAAGTCCTTTCAAAGTCACATCACAGTCATATCAAAGTCTTACTCCAAAGTTGCACTGAAAATCGTGCACCTTTGACGTCGGCTAGCGTGAACCAAGCCTTTGGTTTACTAAAAAAAAAAACATTCAGCACAAAGAACAATCGGGCAGGCGGGGGTTAATAGAGTGGAGGGAGCTTTCATATGCACTTATCAAGAATGCCCAAAGCCCACCCACCCTTTCCATCAACATTCTTCATTCATAGAAGCTGTACTATAACTTCTATGAATGAAAAATGATCTATGAATGGAGGACAGGCTGATCAATGGAATTCACCTCCCCCATTCATAGATCACGTTTTGTTCATAGCAGTTATAGTCCAGCTTCTATGAATGGAGGAGGTAGGTGAAAAGGGTGGACATAGTTGGACACCCTTAATGCGTGCATATGGCAGCTCCGTCAGCTCTATTAACCCCCTGATCAGAGGAGGAATATTTCCACTAATGCAGGAGCCAGAAGCACATTGAAAACATCTGATTGACAGCAAGTAATGACCTCAGTGCTGATTTATTTTCTTTCTTTTTTGGACTAAATTTTAATAGTGCAGGTGGTTCAATCTTAATCCCTAAGAGGATCAATCTAGTTATTGCACCTTTGTAGATTGTAAATTTGAACTAGGCAAATATAATAGACACACATTAATACAACTCTGTAATCAGCAATGCATCTATAAGTGGACTTTTTATAAATGCAAGCAGTGCAAGTACCTGACTTTGATTTGATATTGCCCTCTTGTAGTCCCTGTACAGTACAGCAGGGTTCCAGCATGAGAGGAAAAAAAAACAGTTAAAGTGTTACTAAACCCACAACAGTAAAATCAGTCTGTATATGCAGAAAAAAGCATGCTTGTTATACTCATTGTGGAACCTAAGGGGTTAATCCTCTGCATTGTGCAAAAAGGTTGTTTGATCCTGTTTTCTCTGACCCTCCTCTTGTTCAAATGTCCACCTGATAAGACAGACTGAACCCTTAACCGCATTCACATGCTCAATTTGGTGTGTATTGCTTTTTTTTTTCTTGGGAGAGTGCATGTGATCAGCACAGGGCCAGTCAGCACTGACAGAGGTCAGGGGTTTTGTATCCTCCTAGAGCAGAAAGAAAATTCCTCCTACAAGCTTTACACCCCAGTCACATCAAACCCAACATTGAAATCGTGTGACTTACAGTGAAGTCGCACGATTTCAAAGTCAGCCGCGATTTGCAAAACATCTGACACAGATGTCTATGCAAATCGCACTAAAAGTATTGCATGTACTACTCTGGAAATTGCATGCCAATTTGTATCCCGTGTGACCGGGGTGTTAACCAGTTCTCTGCTGAAGTCACAAGACTGCTCTAACTGCTGATGAAAAAGGTATTTAGCAGTTCATATTTACTAAAATAATTGCACTTCCATGTTCTGTGTACTGTGAGAGACCAGATATAGTGAAAGCAGGGTCCTGGGTTTAGTAACACTTTAAATGTGCTGACAAGGAACATGCTGATAGGGGGAGAAAGCAGAGTGACAGAGAGAATACCTCATAACTGTGCTGCTTCTACTTTTGCTGTCCAATCACAGACAGGGATAGGTCCAGGACAGTCTTTGCTGACATAAAGTGGGCTGAATGATGCTGGTCATCAGACTAAGAATTTCTTGTGGTGTAAGAGAAGTACTGCGGGAAGAGCTCTGAATTGCAACATATTGCAACAAACACAGCTTTTATATTGTATTTATATTTATCTTGCCATCTTGTTTTTCTTGTTGCCTGGAGTTCTGCTTTAGGTGACTAAATTCATCATTCTATGGTACCTTCCACATGTATTCACAAATTGAGTTATCCTGCAAACTGCACTAGAGACCTTTCTTCTAGAAACCTTATGGATAGCCGCTAATTTCAAAAGGTCAATAATAACATTTTTCAGACATTCATGTATGTCAGGGATTGATTCACATAATACTCAACTGCATCATATCCTAATGTGAGAGAGATAACAGTGTAAGATGAGGCTACATCTGCTGTGACCATCAAATATCTGTCCTGATATACTAATAGGGTGCCACGTATCCTTAGATAGGAAGACATCAATTTATAATTACATTTTTCATATAGTGTTTGTATGTATTATTTATTTTGTAAAAAGCATGTAAATGTTATTTTAATTTTATTATATTTAATCAATTGTTGTAATCATGCACACTTTGATTAGTAAGTGACTTAATGTAAATTATCATATAACTTCATTGGGCCTTAGACAAATTGACAAATGTTTTTTTTAAATTTTATATGTGAGATGAATTGGGGGTTTCACATTGGTAATATGGGGTAATATGCGTCCACTAGAGAAAGTATACCATACCCATAAAGTCTTATCAAAGTGAGGCTTGGGTTTGTTTCCTATTGTCCATGGCCCAAGGATGATACTGTATATAAAACGTGGTTATCAGGCACAGCCTTCATGTCCTTAAAAAAAAAAAATCAACTCTGACAAAATGCGTAGGAAGGAGCTGCATGCCGTGATATCACCACATTCCCAGAAGTTTCCTTGGAAGTCTTCATTCATTATTCCGGACAGTCTTTTTGTACAGTGCTGTTGGTATTTTGACAATATAAGTGCATCTACTTGTTTTTTAATAAAATAGTTGTCCAAATTTCACACTGTGTGGAGCATTTGTTTTTTTAACATAACACGCATATATGATGGCTGTTGACTGATGGTGAAAATTTATCATTGAAAATTCCCATTCTCCTGGCTGCCAGTCTGGAATACTGAAAGTGAATCCTTCCAGTCAGTGGCTATGATTGTGCAATGCATTGTTTGACCTCTCTATAATTTGAGGGTCATATATTTTTGGTAAGCCTTTGTGACGGGAGTGACTTTGGCTGGGGGGCCCATGGAACACAGCTCACTTTGGAGGGGTGGGGAGATCCCTGTCTCAGCTTCCCATATCCATCTTATGTGTAAGTCACCCTGTGCCTGTTAGGGGTACAGGGTGGAATGTCCTGATATTGTGTAGGCATGTATAGGTGGAGTGTGGGGGTTGGTCATTGTTTACTGCCAGGTGGTACATCCCATTGTTCTATTGTGTGTCTTGCTTGGGAGCAAACTATTATGGGATGTATGTGTTTGTGTACTGGCTTGGTGGGGGGGGTGTCTGCTGATGTGTCTCTGGTTGCTAGATTTGGTTTGCCGCGCCCTGTGTCCATAAGCAGGGAGGTGGGTTGTTCCCTTGAATGTTTATATCTGTGTTAAAATAAAGCAGTTTATTTCCTTCAAGGCTGGTGGTCTCTAGGCTTGTTTGGTCAGCGGTGGGGTCCGTGGTCAGTGTTTGGACAGGGAAGCGGGAGTCTAACGAAATACCCTAGTGCAGTCAGGGTCCGGTTCTGTTACAGCCTTCTGGTGTGATTGCATGGTGGCAGAGATTCACATGGCATGGGATATACATTGTTTTGGACTCTTGACATCACTTCATTCATTAATTATTTACATTTATGGACTTTTTGGTATATATTATATTGTCATCTAGTGTATTAATCACTTATATTTTCTTATGGAGTTTACATGTATTTGTTCATCTGATAATGCAGCACAATAGGAAGAATAATTTTGGACTATGTCAGATACCTCATAGTGTGTGTGCTGCTTTTCATCATTCTTGAGAGTATGTTGCCCACAAGTGTGGTTTCATTTATGTTCTCCTAGGCTGCTTCCTCTCTGAGCCCTGGTTCACATTGATGCTGTGTGGAATTCACAGCATTTTCTGTGCAAATTCCATATCGCATTAGAATCACACCCCGTTCAAGCAAACTGCTGCAGGTGTGTATGTTAAGTTGACAATACCCCGAAAGCGGTCCGCAAAACGCAGTGCGATGTGCAGAATCGGATCGCATATGTGTGAATATCCATGCGATCTGTTTCTAGTTCGAACATAAAAAGGGTCCTGCACATTTTTGGTGTGGGTGCGGTGCAACTAGAGCCATACAAAATGTATGCCTCCGATTGCACCACACACAAAGCGCATGTGATTTGCACAGGAATGCGGTACGGTTCCTGTGTGAATCACATGCGATATACCGCACCGCATATATATGAACCCAGGCTTACAGTAGCACAAGGAAACACTCGCCATATAGTAGATTTTTGAATGTGTATGGATGAGCGCCTGGTACAAAAGTTCATCTCACTTAAAGTACTTTTTGAAACACTTGGTTAAGAGCATCAGATGCAGCCAACACATTTCAGGGGAACACAAGCTTTCCCCTTCTTCAGGGTATGAGCAGTCTGTGTTGGTAAAATCACAACATAATGCACAAAGGGATGCTACAGTGCCATCAGGGGATGCTAGTCTTCATCAAGCCTGAACACAGGTCCCTTTGTGCATTATTTTGTGGTTTTTAAGGTGGCACTGGAAGGAAGGTGTTTTTCTCCATAATATGTTGGCTGTATCTGATGCTCATACCCATTAAACGTATCAAAAAGTCTTTTAAAGTGGTTGTAAACCTCAGAAATGAAATATGAACAAAGCATATCCCTTTATAGTGTGTCCTTTTCTCAATTAAGAGCACTAGGTGTAGTTTCTGTCTGCTCTTCCATTCCTCTATCAGCATGAATCACTTCTGACAAGTTTTCCTGACACCAAGAGAAAAATGGTGACGAGGGAGGGACCTCCAGCAGGTTGACAGCCTCAGCTCTGGTCCTGTGAGCTGTGTGGAGGGGGTGTGTTCCTTCCCTCCAATCAGCACTCAGAGTTCTCGCTGTGCGTAATTTCAACTTTCCGCCCTTTTTTATCTAAACTCACAGACAAGCTGTATAAACCCAGCACTTTTTTTATAGGGTGTAGAGTAGAGATGACTGCAGATGGACAGGTACAACTTATGTAAGAGGATTTGTTTCATCTCTGTGTATCACCCGAGGCCAGTCACTTCACTGAATATATGTGAGGGTTTACAACTTCTTTAAGCGAGATGAACTTTTGTTTCAGGAGCTCCTCTACACACATTCAGAAATCTACTTGAGCTGTGTGGAAAACTCACAAGAACTTCAGCAGAAACAATCCCTGTCTCTTCTTTGAAAAAAGGTGTTAATGGGAAAACGTAAAGTGTTACTAAACAAACAATAAAATCAGTCTGTATATGCAGTAAAGCATGCTTGTTATACTCACTGTGGAACGTAAGGGGTTAATCCTCTGCATTGTATAAAACCACTGTTTGATCCTGACTTTTCTGATCCTCCCCTTCTTCCATTGTTCCCCTATTATCTCCTGATAAGACATATACTGTAGAGTCACTTTGCACATGCTCAGTTTGGTGTGTATTGCTAGAGAGGTTTTTTTTTCTTGGGAGAGTGCATGTGATCAGAACAGGGCCAATTAGCACTGTCCAGACAAAGGTCAGGAGTTCTGCATCCTCCTAGAGCAGAAAGAAAGCTCCTGCTACAAGGTTTAACCAGTGCTCTGCTGAACACTGATAGAAGTCACAAGACTGCTCTATCTGCTGATGAGAAAAGGTATTTAGCAGTTTATATTTACTTAAATAATTGCACTTCCACATTCTGTGTACTGCAGGAGACCAGATTAGAGTGAATGCAGGGTCCTGGGTTTAGTAACACTTTAAAGCCATAGAGCAGCAGACATTTTTCTGAGCAAATGTGAGCAATGTGACTCCCCTCTCCTGAACAATCCCTCAATGTCTTCAAACAGGGGACATGGAGAGAATCATTATGTTTTTGCACCAGCAGTTCTAAAAGACTGGGAACAAACCCTCGACAATTTTGGCAGGGAAAGTTAAGAGACAATAAGACCTTTTGCTTTCTGGCTAGCACAGATTTGAGGTTTTTTTTTTAAACAGTAGGTTTGAAAAATAAACATTTTTTGGGATTACTAAAGTGCTCTATAGAACCTAAATCATTTAAGTGGTTGTAAAGCTTTGTAGTTTTTTTATTTTTCATTAAAATAACAAACATGTCCTACTTACCTGCTTTGTGTAATGGTCTTGCACAAAGCAGCCCTGATCCTCTTCTTGGGTCCCCTGCCGATGCTTTTTGGCCCCCACTCCCCCCCCCCCCCTGCCAAGTGCCCCCAGAGCAAGCTTCTTACTTTGGGGGCACTCGTGCATGCTCACTTCCAAGCCAGCCCTGTGTCAATAAGACATCCCCCTCCCACCGCTCTTCCCTCACTGGCTGTGATTAACAGCAATGGGAGCCAATGGCTGCCACTGCTGTCTCTCAGTCAATGAGAAGAGAGAGACCCAGGAGAGCTGAGGCTCTTGTGCACAGCACTGGATCGCAGTCAGGCTCAGATAAGTATTAGGGGGGCTGAGTGAGATGCTGCACACTGAAGGTTTTTTTACCTTCAATGTTTGGAACATGAAGGTAAAAAATGTTCAGCCTTAAGAACCACTTTAAAGCTGAACTTCAGGAAACCTAAACATTCTCCCTTGATCTTTTCTGTCTAGGGGATTTGGATAAGCAGATTTACTTACTCGATCCACTGCTAGATTGGTCGCTGCAGCCTCCTCTCCCCCATGCTCTGGTAATCCAAGGTCCTCTGATTTCATCAAGACTGAGGCCGGGTCCATAGTCCATGAACGTGAGGACATCAAAGGACAGTCCATTGCTGAAGCATTGAGGAGTGAAGTCTGTCAGGGGAACAGAGGACTGGGTAACTAAAAGTTCTTTTACTGTCTTTTACTGACAAAACAAGCAGATAACCCTTGCAGTGTAGGTGTCAGGGATCCCCTCGATCCCCGCCGCGATGGTCCCGGCGCAGGCGCAGTATGCCGCCCTGTGCAGGGACTCGAGCACTGGGTCCGGGCCGGCCGCGGCGTTCGAGTTCGCGCATGCGCAGTAGAAGCCGCGGCCGCCCGCTGGGCACCAATGGCAGCGCAGGGCGGGATATTTAAACGACCCTGAGCTGTCATTCAGTGCCTTCTGGTCTTACCTGTATCCTGTATCCGTGAACCTGTGTATTGTAAGTTGCTGACCCGGATTGTACCTGACCTTGCTGTATTTCTCCTGCCCAGACCCTTGCTTTGCCTGACCTCTCTCCTGAATGCCCCCTATTGGATTTGACCTGCTGTTGCTGACCTGGCGTGTGACCCGACTATTCTATGCCCGCTGCCTTGTACCTTGCCGTCCTCTCTGTTACCGACCCGGCCCGTCTGACCTTGCTCATCCATCCATCCATCCATCCCGTCCAGTGCAGTGGGGTCTGCTGACCTCCTCATATCAGACTCTTCCCCGTGGGAGCCCTTGGCGCATACCACTACCACTGACGGACGCACCCAGTAGCCACGACCTGGTCTCAGGGGGCTCCAAGTCCATCCCCACCATCAGGGGCCCTGGTGAACAAGCACCCTGGGACTTAGACTCCGTGCGCTGGGGACGCCTACTCAGTGGAGTGCTAGTGGTACCGCCAGGCGGTCCCTTACAGTACCAGAAGGCCATGACTGAGTCTAGAGGAGGGCCCTCGCCGCTTGAGGAGATCTGCAGGCACCTGTCTAACTTGACGCAGGCCGTATCGGCCCTGCAGGACAGATGTCAGCAGATTGAGAATCACTTCCAGACCTGCACTATATCCGTTTCTGCCCCACAGGCCGCGGTCCCCGCACCCCCGGCCGTAGCAGCCCCTGTACCGGTTTCTGGGGCATCCGCCCCACTCCCGGCGGCCGAACCCCGAGTACCCCTACCGGAACGGTTTCACGGGGACCGCACACGCTTCAGGTCATTCCGTGAGTCCTGTCTCCTCTATTTTGAGTTGCAACCACGAACCTTTGTGACTGAATCCGTGAAGGTGGGGTTCGTCATCTCCCTCCTGCAGGGTGAACCCCAAGACTGGGCCCACCGACTGCGGGGAAAAAATGACCCTCACCTTAGCTCGGTTGACTTTTTTTTTGACGCAATGGCCATCCTATACGATGACCCACAGCGGGCAGCTTCTGCTGAAGCTACTTTGTACACGCTCCGGCAAGGCCGCCGAGCGGCGGAGGAGTACGCGTCTGAATTTAGGCGCTGGATGGGGGACACACGTTGGAACGAGTTTGCTCTCCTGCATCAGTTCCGTATAGGCCTATCAGAAGGCCTGAAAGATGAGCTCGCCCGGGTGGAGGTGCCTGAGACTTTAGAGGACTTAATTGCACTGACTATTAAGATTGACCGTAGACTGCGGGAACGCAGGTTTGAGAGGTCCGGCCAGGGTCATGGAAATCCCTGGGGGCCATTTCAAGGGCCCAGTCAAGCACCTAGGCCAAACATCCAGAACCGGCCACCTGGAGATATCCCTGAACCTATGCAACTCGGCCTGGCGCGGCCTAAACTATCTCCCAGAGGAACATCAGCGCAGACGATCCCAGAACCTGTGCCTCTACTGTGGCGAAGCTGGTCATATGGTACGATCCTGCCCGCAGAAACTGAGTAAGTGCACCTCTTCTTCCTTGTCCATTGGCAATGTTAGTCCATCCCAATACTTAGTGGTGCCCCTTTCCTTTCAGCTTCCGGAAAGGACCGTGGAAGTGTCGGCCATAGTTGATTCGGGGGCATGCAGCTGCTTCCTGGACATTAAGTTTGCTCCACAGGGTATTCCTCTCAATTGAAACAGAAGGGGTTCAATATTTATTTGGCTGACGGTTCCCGGATAAAATCAGGGGTGGTGAACCAGGAAACCCCCTCCATCGCCACTGTCATTGCCGGCCAGCACCAGGAACTGCTCCGCCTGGATGCTATAGCTTCACCCCTCTTCCCAGTCATTTTGGGGCTCCCATGGTTACGGGCCCATAACCCCCAAATTGACTGGGAGACCGGAGTAATTTCGTTCCCTTCTCCATACTGTCGGGTATACTGCCGCACTTCGGGCCCGGGGGTCCCCCAAATCCTCCTGTGCTCTGAGGGGGAAGCTGAATTAAAACAGGTAATCCCGGCAGCCTACCATGAGTTTCTAGATGTGTTCAGCAAGCGGGGAGCTGATACTCTACCCCCCCACCGCCCTTATGACTGTCCCGTTGACCTGTTACCCGGTTCAGAAATTCCTTTTGGGCGAATCTTTCCCCCTTTCAGAGCTCGAATTGGGAGCCCTGAAGGAATATATCGAGGACAGCCTCCAGAAGGGGTTCATCCGCCCCTCCACTTCACCGGCGGGGGCGGGAATTTTCTTTGTTGAAAAAAAGGACAAAACCTTGAGGCCGTGTATCGATTACAGGGAGTTGAACAGGGTCACGATAAAGAACCGTTACCCACTGCCGTTAGTACCAGAATTGTTCCAAAGTTTAAAAACAGCAGTGGTTTTTACAAAGCTGGATTTGAGGGGAGCATACAACTTGGTTCGCATAAGGGAGGGGGACGAGTGGAAGACGGCCTTCCGCACCCGCTTCGGCCATTTTGAATATTTGGTCATGCCGTTCGGGTTGTGTAATGCTCCGGCCACGTTTCAACACTTTGTGAATGACATTTTTAGGGACTTCCTGGATGTCTTTGTTATCGTCTATCTAGACGACATTTTGATTTTCTCCCCTTCCTTGGGGGAACACAGAATACATGTAGCGAGGGTATTGGGGCGATTGCGGCAGCATGGGTTGTACGCCAAGGCAGAGAAATGTTGTTTCGAACAATCCAGCATTACTTTCTTGGGCCTGATCATCTCCACCGCGGGGGTCGCGATGGATCCCCAGAAAGTCGCTGCAATACTGGATTGGCCTGAACCCACGGACAGGAAAGGCGTCCAACGGTTTATTGGTTTTGCAAATTTTTACCGAAAGTTCATCAAGAACTTCTCGGGTCTGGTCTCCCCCATTACTCAGCTAACCAAGCTGGGAACCCGGTTCAGATGGACACCTGAAGCTCAGAAAGCTTTTGAAGCCTTGAAGAAGTTGTTCACCTCGGCACCCATTTTGGGTCACCCAGACGCCGCCCTGCCCTACATCCTGGAAGTGGATGCATCGGAGAATGCGGTAGGTTCCATTCTCTCCCAGCGGAAGGGCACCAAGGAATTGCTCCATCCTGTAGCTTTCTTCTCACGGAAGCTTACCCCAGCAGAGAAGAATTATGATATCGGTGATCGAGAGCTACTGGCGATCAAAACGGCATTAGAGGAATGGAGGTACCTGCTGGAAGGTGCTATGCACCCCATCTTAATTTTTACTGATCACAAAAACCTAGAATATCTGAGAACCGCCAAGCGTTTACGCCCGCGACAGGCAAGATGGGCACTATTCTTTTCTAGATTCAACTTCCACATTACGTACCGGCCTGGATCAAAGAACACTAAGCCAGATGCGTTATCACGTATGTACGAGGACGCCAAGGAGACCCCAGTACCCGACACCATCTTGTCCTCGGGAAACTTCTTGGCCCTTCAGTCGGACCTTCGTTCCAAGATAATGGAGGCATCCACAACCGTCTCTACCTCAGCCGGAGGGCTCCTCCAGAACAAGGGGGGACTC